CAAGGAAGTTATTCTAAATATATTCCCTACTTAAAATGCAGCAGAGGCAGCCCTTTACACAGCTAGATAACCTCTACTTGTCCACGTATCAGCCAGCATCTATAAATGTAAAACCAAGATGAAAGTGAGAATCCAGAACTTACACCAAAGCTATGAACTCCAAGTGCTGGCACGCTGTTTGCGTTCCAACAGAGCATCTTACCAGTGCCAAGCTGTGCATTTCTTTCCAATGGACTTAGAGCTGTACAGGGCAAGCTGTACCTTAGAAGAGCAGAGAAGACTGGTGGGAAAGCCTCCATCCCTATTTCACAAGGAAGCTGCCATACGCTTTCTGTGTACAGAGGAAAGCTGTGTGGAAGTAAATGTGAGGACTGTGTACTTGCTTCAAACCCAAATGTAATTGATAATCCAAATCAGAAAGCTATCAGCAGTCCTAAATTCAGCTGTTGTGTTTATACCTTAACAGTTGGCTTTTCTTCTCTTTCATTCCACCTCACATGCACCAGTAAAGCAGTTTTTCTAGAAACAAAAACGTGACTGAACTGAAATAAAAGCCTTGCTACACTCACTTCTTATTTCCTGACAAAACTGTGCTTGAGCAAATGATACATGTCATACCACAAATTCACAGAGCCAGAAATATTAATTTAAAATCTTGGTGCAAGTTTGTGTTAATAGCAAGCCTCGTACTATGAACGAAGAATTACTTCTTCTTCCAAGGGCATGAAACAATTACACCATTAGAATTATAGGCTTCTTCAAAAAACAGCTTTCAAAATGCAAATAAAATACAATGAAGATGTCAAAGTGTTACCTAGGGGGCAGCATTCTGTGAGCATCTTCCACTTGGGAAGGCTTTGGGCAATAAGAAGCGTTACACCAGTTTCTTTACTTGTTACAGGGAGAAATTTTCAGCCAAATCATGCAGATGATCTCACGGTGCAAAGGCTTGCCACTGATCTCAAGGTCAGCACCCACAGCAAGTGTGTGTGGGGGAGAAACAGCCCAGGGAATTCTGTAGCATTGATAAGAACAGGTTTCTGATTTGCTGTTTTACTAGAGTACTTGAAAGAACCATCTGCTACCCTTCAGCACCAGGCTTGAAAAATGTAAAATAAACCCCCAAACACCCACGTGACAGACTTGACAAAATTGAAGGGTGCTGACTGCAGTGACGTGTGCTAAACAGTAAGTTCACTGATAAAGGCAGGCTGCAGAGACTTAGCACAAGCAGTAATGGAAAGATGCTGTGGAAGAAAAAGCTGGAGAGCAGACAATATACAGCACAATGCTAAGGACTGGCTGAAGTCTGTCCTGTTGAGTCTTCTTACTGTAAGAAGAATGCGTTCCTGTGGTATGTGAGAGGCCTGCATGTAGTATGAAGCCCTGGACCTCAGCATCTGACAGGGAAATCAAATCTACTGCAGCCAAATATTCAGCTTCCCAGTTCCTACAGAAGAAACACAAAGAAGGATGTTGGAACGGATGAAATTGATGGCTTTCAGCTTGTGAAAATGTTACTAAAGAAAATGGAAGAAACTGTTTCATCAAAAGTTTGAACTTGTACGGGAGACTGTGACCCACTGAAAGAAAAAAAAGTGCAGTAAGGCTGTAGCTGAAATATCAATATATATCACAAAATATATCACAAATATCAGCACAGGTAGATTGTAGTGCTTCCATCTCCATCCAAACAGATCTCCCAGGGACTAAAATACCTGTCCAGACCTTATGATGCATGGAGACCTGCTACATGGGAGTTGCTGCAGTACATGAAGCAGTAGTGGGTAGATATCATAGCTACACAAGTAGCTACGCTACCAGAGGAGTTCAACAGGCACAGTGTTTGGGAATGTGAGCTGGAGATTGATGCATGGTATTGTGTACCAGGCGAAGAGACAGTCCTGCCTAAAGGCAAAGCAATGTCCTACTTGTCTCTACTTGCCTGATAAAATCAGATGGAATAAATTATTCTGGAAATTACATGAAAGCACATGGAAGACAGGGAGGCATTCAGAGACAGTCAGTATGGCAACACCAAAGGCAAAACGTGTTTGATTAATCCACTGACCTACAACGGAGCAGATATCAGAAGACAACAGAAAAGGAATTGATGTAATGTACCTAGAATTCTGTAACACCACTGACAACAGTATCTCAAAATATCTCTAGCCTCTAAACTGGAGAGATATGGGTTTGATGGACGAACTATTAGATGGATTAGGAACTGGCTGGATGACCACATCTACAGGTACAACCAACAGCTCAATGTCTGGAAGCCAGAAATGTGCATTGTCTCTCAAGGGTCCATACCTCAAACAATGCTGTTCAATATCATTGTCAATGGGACTGAGTGCACCCTCAGCATTCTGCGGATTACATAAAGCTGAGTTATGCATTTGATACAAAGAATGCCAAGCAGAGAAAACTCCATGAGGTTCACATCAGGCAATTCAAGTCTGTAAAGGTGACAGTGGCCTACTTGCAAAGTGGGCCCATATGAACCTCATAAAGTTGAACAAGGTCAGGTGCAAGACTCTGCACCTGGTTCAGGACATTCCCTGGTATAGAACACACTGGGCAAAGAAGTGTTTGAGAACAGCCTTGCAGAGGATGGGGTGCTGGTGAATGACAAACTGGATATAACCCACATAAGCCCATATAAGCCCACATGGACCTAATGAAGTTCAACAAGGCCAACTGCGGTACTGTACCTGTGTCAGGGCAATCCTAGATCTGTGCACACTGGGAGAACAACACACTGAGAGCAGCCCTGTGGAGAAGGGTGTGAGTGTCCTGGTGGACAAAAAGTGGACAAAATGTGTTGAGCCGACAGCGCGTGCCTGCAGTCTGCAGGGCCAACTGTATCCTTCATCAAAAGAGAGGTAGCCAGCAGGGCAAAGGACGTGATTGTTCCCCTCTACTTTGCCCTTGTGAGGTCTCATCTGGAGTACTGATCCAGGTATGATGCCACCAGCACAAGAAAGACACAAAGCTGTTCAAGCAAGTCCACTGTGAGACCTCGTTGTGGTCTTCCAGTACTTAAAGGAGTTTATGATCAGGAGGGAGACAGACACTTTACACAGTCTGACAGTGAAGGACAAGATGGAATGATTTTAAATTAAAAGAGAGGAGATTTAGGTTAGATACTAGATGGAAAATTTTCCCTCAGAGCATGATGAGGCATTGGAACAAGTTGCCCAGAGAAGCTGTGAAATGCCCCAGCCTTAGAGGTGTTCAAGGCCAGGCTGAAAGGTGTTGAATGGTGCCCTGGGCAGCCTCATCTAGGACCTAGTTTAGCGAGTTTGAAGCTTGCACATGGTAGGGAGGGTTGAAACTAGATCATTTTTAAGGTTCCTACAATACCAAGCCATTGTATGATTCTGTAACTAATTAAATATACAAATACACTCCAAAAGGGGAAGGACGAGAAAGTAGATTCATTTCAATAAATATCCTAAAAACCATATACAGTTAAAACTTGGCTTCCAAAGAAAGCAAATCAGACAATTGATTTTCCATCTGTTGGAGGAAAGAGGAAAAACACAGAAAAAAAACCTTGCATTAACCCTTTTTAGTCCATCTCTGCCTATCCTCTACGATACCTGAGACCACACTCAGGTCTCCACAGAAATGCAGGAATGGGCACAGGTCCTCAGCATGGTACTGCTAACGTCATAGACTTCTGCTATTAAAACAAGAAGTCAAATGTGTGAGACCATGCAATCATGGGAGCCAGTGTTCAACCCAACCAATCTTTTGTGTCAGAATTCTATGAAGGAGTGGAGAAAGCTCCAGAAATTCTCCACCACGCTATTCTTTGTTACAGGGGTGAGGTATGTTCTCTCTGTGCCCCTTCTGATCTGCCCCTCATGATCTCTACGCTGTTCTACCCCTCTCCATTAATGGATTTTCCACTGTCAGATTGCAATAAATCACAGAATCACAGAATTGTAGGGGTTGAAAGAGACCTTTGGAGATCATCGAGTCCAACCCCTGAAAAACCAACTACCAACCAACCAACACACAAAGAAACACCAAGCAAAAAAACAAAGCCCTGTCCAAAGTGCTGCCAAGGGGAGTTCTTCTGCATTACAACATACTAGCTCAGCCTAAGGCTTCCAACATGTCAGCAAAGAACCCATAGGAAAGGCTGGCATCATTGCCAGACCAGCGCCACAGATTCCTATGCCCCCATTAGTGAGGCTTTTGTACAAAAGCCAGACCTTCCATGTGTGATTTCAAGAACAGTACTGGGGACGTGGCTTTAAAGCCTAGCAAACCCAAGGAAAAGCAGAAGTGCCTTTGTCTTTACAAAGGTAAAGGTTTACAAAGAAGCAACCTAAGGTTGGACTTCCCTGCAGACACCACACTGAGCCACCATACACATGTAAATACAGAGAACACTGCATCCTACAACACAAAGATGTATCACATCACGTTACAGCTAAGTGCAACTAGAAAATTGTAACCTTCCTTTAAAAGCAAAGGTATTTTCAGCTGATGATCACTACACTAGAAAAGGTAGTCACAAAGCACAGTCAGAAAAACACAGTGCATTACAAATGTTCCCTCTCTGTGTTCCTGACCTAACCTGACAATGGAGCCTGCAGTAACATATTGCTCTCTACAGCAGGAATGGAAATACTGCATATTGGTTTTTGCTGTTTTAAGTCAGTTTCATAATCACATGGCTCCTCTGAGAAAAAGACAGGAGTACAGGACATCAATTTGTATGTATCTCAGTTACCATCTATTGTTAGTAGCATAATGACCCTGGCTAATTTTGTAGTACAATACAAGAAAAATGGCCTTCTGAATTTCAGATAAACATCAGCATGGAACATGCAGGAAATATTACGTGCTTTTCCATGTTTCTCTAGCAGTAACAATAGGAGTTAGCCGACTATATATTTTCTTCTCCCTTTCTACCCACTGTTCTAGAAATTTATCCTTTCACCTGCAATTAGTTGACACTTTAGGAAGTTTTTGATTTAGAAAATCAGAGGCTAGTCAACACGTTTTAGATGCGTTGGGCCAGTGTGTTCTGTGCTTTTACCCTCGTTCAGTTATCTGTCTTTGGAGCTGTAGTTGAAGGAAACACCATTTCTGATTGATCCGTTCATAAGGGTTTTAGGATTCTCTCTTTCAATCCTTTCTCGACTGAAGATAGTGTCCTGATCACTGTCAAACTCTGATTCAGAAACCATCAGGCTGGAGTTGTGTTCTGTACTTCTGTGTTTTATGCCTACAAATTACAAACAAAACAAACAGAAACAACAACAACAAGCAAGCTCATTAGAAACATCTCACTTCTGACAGCTTTTGATCATCCTGTACTCTGCTGTGATAGGAAAAAACAATTGAAAACACTCTCTGAAACTCAGCATAAAAGCCTGCATCACTTCCACCACTTATATAAAAAACTGGTCTGGGAGGTATAAAATATGGTCCGGTGGATACAGTTTTGATCTCACTGCAGCCTCAATGGTTTATGGCTAATTAAGTGATCTTAGTACATAGTGACCCCCTGCTAATGGCCTGAATCTGGAAGTTTGTCTGTCTGCACAGCTATCTGATTAAAGCGACTGGCAATGAGAGGTCATATTTTCTACAGAAATCTTACATTTTTCTTATTTCAAAAGCTATTTCTCACATTGATTTTATTTCCCCGGATTCTAATATTTTCCCTGCTAAAAATTGAAATAAAGTAAATTAAAATATATATGAGCAGGGGTTATCAGCTGGAGTACCTGATGCTTAAGAAGGCACTTATGATCCAGAAGGGAATCGTCGTGCACCGATAAAATCAGATCTAAATTATGAAGTGTGTGTGGGGGGGAAAGGAGGTTACATGAAAAAAGTCTGAGGGACAATCAGATGCTCTAAATTACAGTTAGTGAAGAAGCTTGGAACTTTGTCTGATCCCTGGGCAGTGCGAGAGGAATGAACTTATTCCTGTCCAATCATTTCTCCATCTATGCTTGCCTCTGTCATTCCCAGCCAACTCCAGCTTCTGTGCTCCTCCTGATTGTACACATCAATTTAGAACCACTGACTGTGAACTTGGTGGTCGAATTCAGCTTGTACTGCTTGAAGAAAGAGATAGCTCTTACCATATTTGGGTCGTAGCTCCATTCTTTCCTGCTCATCTATATTATCTAGGATGGTATATTTTGTTTTCTTTCTTATCTTAGTCCTCTTTCTGCTAAAAAGGAAATCACCACAAAGATATTTAGCTCTCACATAAATCCACCTATATTCCCACATGGCTACATACCCTCTATACAGAACCTCCACTCAAGATGAGTTGTACCAGTTTATACCCATAAAATCAGCTGCACAATCTGGACCAGAGTGTAGAATTTATTTGCTCTGTCTTATACATAAAGATGAAGAAATCAGGAAAGGCTGACCTTATTTCCTAGCCCACAGAGGTTCAGTTTGTTCAATTCCAACACATTAGCTAGATGCAAGATAGACATATCTATCAGTTCCCAAATAAAATTTCTGAAAGAATTGCTTAGCTCCTTGTTTAGATGTGTCCTTATTTGGTTGGTTGTTTTAAAACTAAGAGAGTTTAAGTAAAGCTTGTCTGGTTATATTTACAGAGAAGACCAGTCAAAAACAGAGAACGGCTCCCTCATACAGATGCAGGGACAAAGCTCTACTGGTCTGTAGCCAAAAATTGACCTTGTTTTTCCTCATTCTTCTCCAGCATTCACTCCTACAGAGCTGCAAATCCTCACCTTAAGTTTCAGGTGTTTATGTGAGGACAAAAGCAAGGAAGCAGCTAACTCCATGAACACCCTCTTTCTTAGCAAATCAACACAAGCCTTTAAGGCTGCATCCCACACTTATGTAAGACATATTTCTATTTAAATGTTTTCTTACCAAATAGGACTGTTCCTTCAACCATAAAAAGAAAGCAATACCAACACCTGTGCATTTCAAACAGCATCCCTTACGCACTGAAAAGATACCCCAGATAAAGTTAAAAGTCCAGGAATAATGTATCATTTCTGATAACACTTTAGCATCTCTTTGCTGTGCTTTTTCATGCAGCAGCAAAAAATCTAGTTATTTGAATTTGAGCAGACTTCTAATAATTTCTTAATGGCTCACTAGGAAAGACAAGGTAGGATGTTGGGTACAGAGGAGAATAAAACATACAGTCATGCCTACTTTTCCTGTCAAAGACAGGATGAGAGCAGCTCCATCTGCATGTCTTATCTCAGTGACCTTCAGGATGTGACTTATATTTTTTGTTAGCATGGAGTAGCTGGAGGACTCAGTGTGACAAGATCATGAAAATCTGCAGTACACACTCAGCATTTTGACATAAATAAACTCTTAATTTGAAGGATATTCCAGCACTGGCATTTTGTTTTTCAAAATACAGAAGAATGCAAACAGCCACAGAAAGATATTCCTCTTTCTTTTTGTTTCCCCCTTCCCCCCCCAAAAAAAAAAGGAGAGCATATATACACAGAAACAACTGGAGGAAGCTTTGTTTGTAAGGAGTTGAGTGGTTTAGTGCTAAGGCCTGGACTAAAATATGGCAACTGTGTGCAGTTGCTGCTTATACCCCAACTAAAAAGAAACACAAATCATGTACCTTTTACAGCAGCAGATGCAGAACCAAGCAAACCCTATCAAGACCACAATCGTAATGAAAGCAGACAGAGTCACATAGAGTATACTCCACTCTGAAAAAAAGAAACACAAGGAGTACAGGAGATATCAGCACCTTCATATCATCTCAGAAGAATGTGTTCTTACAGTTCCAAACTGAAAATGTGGGTTTTCGAAACCTTTTCTCCACTCTACCCATTTTTTCTATCATAAAATAGCCAAAATTCACATAAAAGCTGGAATTCAAGAGGATAATGTAACCATCTCAGTCCTCGTTCTCTAATTCAAACATAGCTGTACCCTGTCTGACATTTCAGCAATGCTTTAAGAGAACAACTGATCAGTGACAGATTCCTCTACTTGCATATTTTGATTTTTAAATTAGCAACCACTGCTAACAGATACTTTGCCCACAGTTTACTTTACAGCTTGCAGCAAATGCCATGTGCTTCCTATCAATTTCTACAGCATTACTTTTTGGGTTGACATTGAAGCACCATTTCTCCCAAGCTCAAGACTAGTGCATCCCTAAGAGTAAAAAATCAGGCAAAAGTGGCAGGAGCCCTCTGTAGGTGAGCAAGGAACTCATGGAAAAACTCAAAGGGAAAAAGAAAGTTTATGAAACTTAGAAAAAGGGCCTGACCACTTGGCAGTAATACGGGAACACTGTCAGGGCCTGCAGAAATGTAAGGAGCAAGGCTAAGGTCCACCTGGAATTAAATCAGACAAAGGAGGTCAAGGACAACAAGAAAGGCTTTTTCAAGTATGTCAGCAGAACCAAGAAAAGGCTGAGAAATCTGGGACTTTTCAGCTTGGAGAAGAAGGTTGAGAAGGGTTCTCATCGCTATTTAAAATATCTCAAGTGCAGGAGTCAAATGGATGGGGCCACACTCTTTTCAGTGGTGTGCAGTGACAAAACGAGGCAACAGGCAGAAACTGCAAAAGAGGAAGTTCCACACAAATATAAGGAAGACCTTTTTTACTGTGAAGGTGACAGAGCACTGGAACAGCCACCAAAATAGGCTGTGGAGTCTCCTTCTCCGGAGATATCCAGAACCTACCTGGACACTTTCCTGTGCAGCCTACTCCAGGGAACCTGCCTTGGTAGCGTATGGGAACTGCTAGGTCACAGCCTGAACCATTGACTGAGCACCTAGTAAAGAGGACTGGCCAGTCCTGGGAGCACAGGTACAGGCAGCTCACCCGTGCAACTGGAAGGGGTGCAGTTTAAGGTTCTGGGAAATATCTCTGTACTTAGAAGACAGTTTTCCTTGGGGAGTTTTTTCCAGTGAGCCCTTATCTTCAGAGTGGGGTAAGATATTCCTTTCTTACTATCAGATTGTGACTAAATACCTTTCTAGGATTATCTGAAAACAGGTCAGAGGCAACTACTAAGTGCTTCTACTTCATACCATGCAGCAGGGAGGTTAGACTTGATGATCCCAATGGGTCCCTTCCAGCCCCTTAGATTCTGTGATACTTAAAGGCTAGAGCATTGCTCAGCAAAATGTCTCTAAGTCTTCAGAGTACTAAAAGTTCAGCTTTTCTTCAACTATGCAAAATACCTGTTTAGTTAAATTAAAACTGTTTAAACTAATTTAGATAGGAGGTCCCTATGTAATATTAAACTTGATTTGTTAGGTGTGCCATGGAATACAGACGTGATTAAAATGATGAAACTAGATTGTATTTCCCAGGTGCAACAGGTAAAGTGAAAAAAAACCAACAAACCACAGTGTAATTAATCAGCTTAAGAAGTTAAAGATTAATAGATTAGTACATTGCTCAGTCCGTAACATCATCACTTCCTTAGGTCAGGTCACACTTCTGGCATGGAAGCATCAAACAATAACTTAGAAAATGTAAGTTTCACAGAATCACAGAATCACAGAATTGTAGGGGTTGGAAGGAACCTCCAGAGATCATCGAGTCCAACCCCCTGCCAAAGCAGGTTCCCTACAGCAGGTCGCACAGGTCGGCATCCAGGCAGGTCTTGAACATCTCCAGAGAAGGAGACTCCACCACCTCCCTGGGCAGCCTGTTCCAGTGCTCCGTCGTTGCTTTCTTTTTCAGCTTTTCAAAAACCTGATGAAGGCACGCCAGAGCTTTGCAACACACGCAGTATCAAACAAACCTACCACATGGTCCCAAATTTACTCAAGTTCTCACCCTTGATAGTTAAAATTCTTACACTTTCCACTCCGTGATACTTTTAAAATTCTGTTCCTAAAATATTTTTTTAAATGTTTTTAAAATTTAAATATAAAATAAAAATTTAAATAAAAAATAAAAAATAAATAATATAATAATATAATATAATAAAAAATAAAAAATAAAATTTAAATATAAAATAAAAGTTTAAAATAAGGATTACTATTTATAAGTCTCTAATATTTCAAGACATGAGTGAAATAATCTGAAGATGTTTCTTTGTATAGAAGGATATTGGCAGGTCGGACAATAAAGAGACTGTTCTAACATCTATGTTCCAGCATCTACCTCCTGGTCTGTTAGCAAATAGGAATAGTCTCACAGAAAGAAAAATGACTCACCACAGTTACTCTCACCATCATTTAGATAACGATTAATTAAGTTTTCCATCCACAGCTGGTAGCAAATACAGCGCTTTGTTATAGGATCACAATGTCCATGTCCAGAGCATTTTAAAAGACATGCTAAGAACAATAACAAACATAAGTTAGCTGTATAAATAGACAACTTGCTATGCATTCCCTTACTGTGAGACTAGGTAGGTGGTAAAGCACCTAATTCATAACCTTCTTGATGTCATGTATTAAGCACGTGTGCGTTTCAGCAGGCTGTGAAGAGAAAGATGAGAATATCTTATGCATACAATGCTGAAATTGTACGCAAGTTGAGAACAGATTCATCCAACCACAAGTAATGATGAGCTGAAGTTGCAGAGTTCAGGCTTCCTTCTTCATTTATGACATATTTGTAAGAGCTTTTAGAGTACCTGAGATCTCAGGAATGCCAGTGTTACCAAGCATTGTAAGACAAGCATCACACCACCACCAAAGTGCATTTCAGTATTTCGTAACTGAATTGAAGGATCTGAACAGTTACACATCATATGCTTACAGCAGAATCTGTAGACATACAGATACATCATACGCTTACAGCAGAATCTGACAGAACAACATGTCACATTAGAATAAAGTAAGGTTATTCCTCTTAAACTTATAGTGGCAGATTTGCTGTGTGCAGCAAACTATTAAGCAATATTTTCAAGTGATGCCTATATATTCTGGTAACCCAAGTGTATTCACAGTAAAACAACAGCCCTTTTCAACACATGAACAAAATCAGAATTTGCGACTAGTTTTAGTGCTACAGTTGCATACTCTGTTTGCATTTGGATTGTTATCTGCTGATTTTTAAATGATAGAGGAAGTCATATCTGTAATATGAGTGTCATACAGGGGCCATGTTACTACTACAGCTTAACGTCAGGCTAGGCTTTGAAGTTCAAGCAAAAGTTCACTATGAAACCCCCTAGGGCCCACTTATGATGCAAATATAATCTCCTTAGAAGATAGTGTGAACACAGTGATGAGCTGACCATTTATACACCTACTACTGAACACTAAAAGCCTCGAAGAGACATGGAACGTTCTATAGTATGGCTATGATGAGTTTTGCTCATCTTCCAACAAAAGATTATACAAGTAGTGTATCTTTCTCCTTGTTTCCCAGGTTTTCCTAATCTATGTCAGATAAGGCTTTATCCATAACAGCAGGCAAAAGCATATCTTTAAAAGAACACAAGTAACTGGTACTGGTTTAACACACATGAGCATGCATTTTAAGTATCATCCTCAACGTCATCTTCCAGAAAGAAAAATCCCAGGCACCAGATGGTAAACATACCAGCTGTGTCAACTCGCAGGACTTTAAAAAGCAGAAAGTCAGCCTTCTCTTTCAGAAGCTGCACGTGCAGAGTTCGAGACACATCTGATGCCTTGATCACCTTGGAAGGATGCCCATTCTGCACGTAAAACACAACTGCAGTGCTGTAGAAAGAACAATATGGGTTAGGGCTGCTGTCTGAGATTACTTGTGTCAGGTATTCAGTTGACAGCCTTCAGTTTCGCTTGTTTCTGAATAGCAAATATCACTACTAATACAGATTAGGGAATTACGTCTATAATCAGCCAGCTCCATCCAAATATCACGGCAACTACTTTATTCTGAGCCAGAAGCACCAGTAGGTTCTTGAGTTTCTTCACAGCAGAAGTGTGAGAACAAGAAAAGTCTTCCTGACTCTCACTTTATGAGAAGAATGTACTCAATGTCTGCTTTCACTCCACTTGTCTAGTACCTATCACAAAGCATCCTGAAGCAGACAGAGGAAATCTAGAGAATTCAAGAAGTGTTGGTAGTACTGATCTCATCCAACATCATGTGCTTCAGGGAACAGCTCTAGTTGAGAAGTAGTAGTTGGAAGCTGGAATTCAACACAGAATCTTTAAGGCTGGAGAAGAAAACTAAAGTTCATTTAATCTGACCATCAATCTATCACAACCTGTCACTCAGTGCCACATCTCCCTTTCCTTGAAAATCTCCAGACATGGTGACTTCCAACACTTTCCTGGGCATCCTGTTCCAATACCTCATGATTCTCACTAAAATAATTTTCTTCCTAATATTCAACCTGATCTTAAAGGTACTATAGCCACAGACAATGGATTTTCTTTTCCTTTTTTTAATGTTGAGAGCTTCCCAGAGAGGTGAATAAATATTGAAATAGATTTTTAAATCACCGAGCAGTTAACAAGAAGTAATTCAGAGTATGATGTCAACAGGTTTTTAACAATCATGCTGCATCTGGCCACTTCCACCCCTCTAACGCAAATAGAAAAGATATTTACTTTGGAGTAGGATACTGTATGTAGAATACTGCAAAATCTGCTCGTTTTTCTATGAAAAAATGATTTTTTCTGATCAGTAACCTGGGCAAATGTATATAAGGTACTTAAAAGTATCAGAAGCTTAGAGAGGAAAAAAGGGGAACCAAAGTAAGCATGATGAGATACAGCTGGAAACTTATTTTGAAATACAGTATTTGCTTCACTGTGAGAAGGTCTGTCCATCTTATGCCAGCCAGCATTTGGGAAAAATAATAACTCTACATGGAACAGAGACACTGAAATTCTGCATGAACTTTCTTTGAAGGAATAAAAGATAATTAAGGGAATAAAAAAAGATAATCTATGCAGAGGATTTTTTAAAATAAAATATTAAAAAACCAAGCTCTTGGAGAGCTCACTTCATCAATTTCCTACCACAACAGAGGAAACTCACTTCTTAAAATATACACAGTAGCATCTTCAATAACATTTTCTACATTATTTTGCAACTAACTGCGAGCTGTGAAAGACTTGATGAAAATCATAAATCTTCCTGGCACAGCAGGGCATCTTTGTACCTTATATCTGAGAATGCTTGTATCTTCTGAACTTTGATATCTGAATCCAAGACATTCAGCAATACAGCTAGTTGTCTCACCAGTGTGTCCTTCTGCTGTTCACTCAGCTGTCCCACCTCAACTTGCAGAATCAGCTCCACCAGACCATTCTTTTTGGGATCTAACAGAAGAAAGACACGGTCTGGTATCAGAGCCTGGAATATATTTCAGCACTGAATGAAGACAACATGTGGTATTACAATTACTTATCAATACTGTATATCCCTGCATAAGACCAACATCACTTATAAGCCACCCCTTTTGTGTTCCTACAAAAGTACTTAGCCTACTTTTTCACATTATTTCTGAAATAAATCTGGTAAGATAGCAATTACACCTTTTATCAGTTTATCCCTTTTATCAGGGAAAAAAACACTGCAGTGTGTATTTCAGCATTACCACATCTCTGTGCAGAAAAACAACATCTGTTTCCCACAATGCTGCCACGTGAAGGTCTGAGGTAAGTGCTAGGTAAGTCTAATTTTTAAGTTACCTGCCAGTGATCTACTACTGGCTACCAATGAGGAAAAGGGATGTAAAGACAGAGTCACAGGGTAGTATCCAAGACTTAGGGAATGAGCCTAAATGGGGACAGTCAGATTCAGAAATACCAAAAATATTTCTCTTCAAACATGAGAAATATATTCAAATAATATTTGCATTTGCAAACAAAACAAGCTTCACAGACATGCAATGATACTTTTGAGCCAACTCCCACATGACTACATTCAATAATAAAGTGAGGAAGAAATAAAATAATTCCCCAGGAACCAGACAAACATGAAATCTGACAGACTTGCCTCACATTAATTTTCTGAAAACCCAACTCATTGTTTCCATCACATAACCACCGAGCGTACAATTGAAGACAAGACTATATATGAGCAATATCAGACCATGACAAGCCAATTTAAAACATTCTGAAAGTCCTGGGGGTTTGTTTTTGTTCTTCAGAATAAGAGAAGGAAAAAGCCAACACAAACACATTATTGCAGCATTTGTACCTAAACTTAATGCACAGTTCACATCTTGCTACTTGCCAAACCCATCAATAACCACAAAAACAAACAAGAAACTACAATGTATGACAGAAAACCAATAAGTAGCTAAATGAAAACATTAAGTGCTGTTATTTAACCTGGTAGGTGGCTCAACATCACACAGTCATTTGCTCACTTCCCCTCTACCCAATGGGACAGGGGAGAGAATAAAAAAAAAGTAGAACTTGTGGGTTAATAAAACTATTTACTAAGACAGAGAAAAAGCAAAGGAAAATAGTCATGACTGTATACATATAAAAACGTATATGACAAGTGATGCACAAGCAATTGCTCACTACCACCCTCTGAGCAGTGGAAGAGAGCAAGATGCAGTGCCACCCTCTACAAAACTTGTGCTCGATGTCATATGGTATGGAATATACCTCTGACCAGTTTAAGCCTGCTGTCCTAATTCTATTCCCTCCCAGCTCCTTGGGCTCTTTGCTGCGAACAGCCTTGGCTTAGCAGGCAAGTATAAACATCAGTGAGTTATTAATGCTGTTTTTCTCCTAGAACCCAAACACAGCATAATAGCAGACACTCCAAATAAAGCAATCCTGTCTCATCTGAAACTAAGAGAGTAAGATGTGTAATTTTCAGATATTTATCTAGGAGAGCAATGCTGCAAATGGGAAAGAAGAACTCCGACACGTCTTGTTCAACACACACAATGCCAACTGAGAGAAGTGCAAGAAGATGACAGGAAGAGAGAATTATTTGTGTTTTAGCCTGGCAAAATCTTGTCAACACTGGAAGAAGAGAAAAGGAGAACAAAGATGAGGTATTCACAACGTATCGATGACCTTTTAATTGTCATACCAGGCCGCACTTCAACAGTAGCAGAGTCAATATCTGAATCTCCTTTGGCATCTGTCACTTGCAAGTGAAAAATATAGATTCCTTCCACCAGATTTGTTAGCTGCAATACTGCTTCGTGGTCTGAGCCAAGGATCACATCCTGCAAAAATAGGCACCAGCATGGTTATACCCTCAGATAAAATTGCAGATACGAATATCAACTCAGGTATCTGATAGGACAGTGTGAGTTCTTGCTTTAGCTTTATGACAAATGTGACCTATCCACAATTCATAGCAGAATAATGCAAATTTGCAAGTGGGAGTTAATAAGGATCTCTGTATACAGATTCTTTTCATTAAAACAAAACACAAAACAAAATAAAAAAGACCTCGGATAGAACAGCTGACATCCTCAAGTCCCCATCTACCTGAAAGCCCGAGACAGTCACATTATTATTTCTCAATTTTACTCTAGTATCATTAGTTCTGCTTTCTTATATATCATTTCCTCTCCTTGAAGTTTATGAATTTTCAACATTTCTGCCAGCTGTAACTGAAATCCCTCCAGTCCTCCTCATATACTTAAGTGAATTACTTCCAGAAGCTTTGCTATCATCTTCCCTTCTCCTCTCGCAGTTCTTACCAATTTGCACTACTGAAAATGACACAAGCTACTTGAACCAAAGCATTAGAGAGAGCAGAGGAGATAAATCAGATGTAGACAGCATCCTCTACTGCATCTCATGAGTCATCCCTGCTTGCCCTTCTGCAGTGAACAACAAACCTTAGAGCTGAATTCAAATCCAGTTAAAACCTTCAAAAAAACTTACCCCAGCTGCTGGGCTTTGACCATCCCGAATCCACAGATATGACACAATCCCTTGGTCATCAGCAGATCTTGAGCCATCCAAGGTAACAGAGTTATTGGGAAGCACCAGAACATGCTTCCCACCAGCATGTGCCCGGGGTGGACTGTTGTTTTCTAGCCATAAAAGTAGTGGAGAAGAATTTGCTTTCAATTCATGCAAGATGTGACCACCATTGCCAACACACCCACAGTTTAGTTCTCTACCCTGATGATTACAGGCACTAACAAGAGAATCTTGTATCAAAGGGACAGGAAAAAGATGAGCGGGTATACAGAATTTGGCTCTGGAATTACAATAATCTGAAAAAAGCAGCTCTGCACCCTGAATAGAACACTGACAAGAAATATTATCCAAAAAATATATTTCAAAGCACTGTGGGGTACTCTATTCGTAGTCCCACAGTAACTTTTGCATCTGATCACCTTTTTCTACCTGCCTCAGAAACACAGCTCAGCACGAGAGCACTATGCTGCGCTCTGTGTAATAGAAGCTTGTGTGAAATCTTACTTTTTCATATCTGTATTTAAGCAAAGTATCCAATAATAACTACAGATCCTGAATGCTTTTTGCTCACTGCAAAAGTGAAATTATAACACGAACTGTGAGAGAAGCATGAAAACATTTTCTTTCCAGAAGTCAGACATCGCTGACTTCTGTGTAGAACACAACTGGTAAGACAGAGCTCTGGAAAGCTGTGATGATAAATGAAATGCCTCACTGGTCTGATTATCAGCTGGAGAGAGAGGGGGAGAGAAAGGGTGGGGTGGAAGGCAGAGAGATGTAAAAGCAGAAAGCGATTTTAGCAGTTACTTGTAATACTCTTTTATTATAAAATGGAAGTTATTCTTCTTGAATCCCTTGAAAGACGACAACAAATACATTAGCTGTTCCTGTTCTGAGTTTCTTTACATTGTCAGTGACTAAACTAACTGGCAAGCTGCCTACTACATCTTAAGCAGCAGCAATAGGCTTACCTTCCTTCACAGTAATAGACAGCACACACGCACTGCTTAACCCCTGCTGGTCTTGAACTGTCAGTCTGAAGCGATAGGTGCCAACCTGAAGACCAGACACAGTTGCTATTGCTTTGTCACCATTTTCCATCTGCACGTAGCTTGGCCCACTGAAACAAAACATCTCATAAAAATAATCTGTCAAAGCCAGACAAAATTCTCTTAGAGCAGCACCACTCATATCATTTGCTGTTATGGATATTGGGGTTCTATCACTTCTACACGCACTGACAGTAAAGAAATTAACACAGTGAGTTTAGATTAGAGAGTTCATAATTGCTTCTTTTTCTAGAAATTCCAATCACTCAAGCAGCACACATACCATCATTAGAAGAGCAGAAAATGCACCTCAGTTCAGCCTCCTTGCTGAACTATTCTGTGGGAGCATATGCAAATGCTGCTGGTCTAAAAGTCACTTACAACACATAGTGGGTGCCAACAAATTCATTTCTGTACTGTGGACAGGACAGCTGCACAAACGAATACCTTTGTTCTTTTATTAAGGATCAATTAGCTCTGTATCTGAGCATACAATTACAAGCTTCTCTACAGCATTTTTAATCACTATTCAAGACTGCTTCAGTCATTTCTAATGAAAGCTCTGGCTAAAGGGATTGTTTGGATAATTTTTCCTTTGTTATCCAACAAACTGAAGAGATTATGAAAGCACTGACAGGAAAAAATTACACATTACAGGAGAGTACCTATGCCTGTTGCCCTCCTTAATGGAAGATAAGAGAGTTCCTATAATTTCCTCATAAAATAACTTTGTGACTCCAGGTTTCAAGATGACACAGAATAAAACATAAGCAAGCCCAGATGAATTTAGAATTCTTATCTCTCAACCTTTTACCACCTAAGGAGGAAAACTCTCAAAGCAGTTTTCAAACACTCAAATACTTTCAACAGTATTAAGAGGCTCTGGAAGTCGAGTAATTTCTCTTTTTTTCCTTCCCTCTTTTTTTTTTTTTTTTCCTCTGAACTGCAGATTAGTAATATATCTCTTTAGGTACCTGATTACCTGATATTTTCCCAATGATAGAGGACAATGCCTTGGTCATCTTGGCTTCTGCTTCCATCCAGTGTAGTACTTTCTACTGGGAACGTCAATTCCTTGTCAGGGCCAGCCACTGCTACTGGAGGGCTGTTATTTTCTGTAAAAATAAGATTTAATGTATCACACTTGCTGTTTAGTTGCTAGCAAAGACTGTCAATCAGCAAGAAAGATTTTACACAGAATATAAAATTAGAAGCCTGCCGGGAGGCTCAAAAAGCATGAACCAGAGATTCAGAGAACCACACAGTGGCTTAAGTTGGAAGGCATCTCTGGGTACACCTGGTCCAGCCCCTGCTCAAACAGGGAAACCCAGAGCAGTTGTCCAGGCTCATGTTCAGGCTTCTGAAGATCTCCAAGAGGAGACTCCACAGCCTGTTTAGACAACCTGTGCCAGCGCTCCATCACCCACACAGCACACAGGTGTTCCAGGTGTTCAGAGGAAACCTGTTGTGTTCCAGTTTATGCCCACTGCCCTGGCATTGGATGCCACTGAAGAGTATGACTCCATCTTTTCTGCAAACTCCTTTTGGGTATACATGCCAATAAAACCCCCTTCTGCTCTCCCCTCATCAAGGTCTATGCAATGCCACTAAGCTAGTCTCAATTTCAAGCCTTTGAGGATTTGGTGAAAAAATATAACTTATTATTCTGTTCCCAAATGTTGTTGTTGTGGCATGGCAAACCCTCAACACTACTATTCTCCTGTATATTCATTTCCACTTTAACCTGAATTCAGCAATAGCTCCTTCCTACTTCAACACTGTCACCAATCTAAAACATACCACCCATACATGTTGTACTTGCAATTCACATTCCTGGTTCCTTTGGTAAATGCCCATTGCAAAGTTTCCCTAAAAAGGGTCATTGACATTTAAGAGGAAATTCTTTACTCAGAGGGTGGTGAAGCACAGGAAGAGGTTGCCCAGAGAAGCTGTGGATGCCCCACTCCTGGAGTGTTCCAGGCCAGTTTCAATGGGGCTTTGGTCTTGTGGGAAGTGTCCTGGCCCATGGCAGGGGGGGTGGAACTAGAGTATCTTTAAGGTTCCTTCCAACCCAATGCATTCAATGGTTCTAGAAGTAGCTGTAGAATGAGCAAAATGAAGGAGACATAACACTGCTCCACAGTGTAATATGAGACCTTCACATGAGCAGAAATGTCCATTTCAGATGTAAGAACCTGCAATATGCAAACATATTATCAAAAATTGGAAAAAAAAACAACTTTGTAGGCCTGGTGCACTTGCATTTACTCATCATTCAGCTTCCAAATCTAAACAATGATGTGAAAGAAGCAGCTTTTGAAACTCTCTGCTTGAGAGAGTTCATTTTTTTCTTCTGGCAAAAGAATTGTAGTGAGAATTCAGATTGCACCAGGATTCTTGAAGAAATGCAAAACAGTAAGAAATTGAGCAAATCACTGACTGACATGGTGAACAGCTTAGCAGGGTATTAAACTGAAAGCTACATTTTAGTTTTTAGAAGTACTCTCAAACATGCATAGTGCCTTATATAATCAGGCCAATGGGAGCCTTCAGGATCACTGCCTGGATTTCCTGGAATTCTGCACTTTTTTTTACTGTTTGTTTTGATACGAAATAGAGGTGAAGGAGTCCTTGATGCAGGAACACCAGATGTCCAGACTGCACCTGAATGGTGCAATACAAGCACTGGAATGGGCTGCCCAGGGAGGTGGTGGAGTCACCAACCCTGGAGGTGTTCAAGGAACATCTGGATTTTGTGTTGAGGAACATGGTTTAGTGAGAACTATTGGTGATGGTTGGACTGGATGATCTTGTAGGTCTTTTCCAACCTTGGTTCCAACCTTGGTTCGATGATTCTATGAGGAGAGAAATCTGATGGACAGTGCTAAGGCATTCAGGCTGGTCCACCCTGAAGGACCCAGGTGTGCCTGCAGTCAGTCAGCTTACCAGGCTGTACTATCAGAGTGACCTCAGCAGTGGACTGCTGCCTTGCTGAATCTGTGACAGTGAGCTGAAAGGTATAATCTCCTTCCTGCATTGCAGATAGCTGGAGGTATGGAGTCCGCACTCCCTGCATGGCAGTGAGAGAGAGATGAGAAAAAGTATTCATGGGGTACAAAAATACAGTAAGAGAGCAGACGTGGAGGAAAAGTAAAGTACATTTTAATTCCAAATAAGTACATGACTTGAGCAAAAGCACCTTGCAGACAAAGAGGATACTTAAAATTTGACGTACAGGCAGATGTCATACATTCAGTACTGCAACTGTCTATCAATCCAGAGATATATTTATCAACATAAAATCTTAATTTCTTAACTTTTAGTATAATTCCTGCATTATATCTGAACAACAATAATTGTTAGACACATGGGACATTAACAATGACAGTGTTTAATCCAGTATTTATTTCTAAAAATAGTTAAATGCAAAAATAAGTCACTAAAGAACAACAGCATACTTGATTCCAGCCAGGTAGGCTTATGGAAATAGAAAAGTTAAACAAAGCAACTCTGTTCTGAGCATATACTTCCAGCACTATTAGTTAATACACACACACATACATATATATACACAAAAGCTCACAAAAAGATTAGGCCCAACTCTATGCCCTTTTGCTAACACAATGACCATTTACATATCTCATGAGGAATCACCCCTTCCATCTTCATCAATCAAAATTACAATTATCACAGTTATTCAAGGAAGTCTAATGTGAACTAAAGGATACGATACATTATTATCTGACCATCAGAGCTTATTTTTAAAAATGATCTATACAAAGTGGTCTCTTTCCAGTTTGGAAAGCCTAAAGCATTTGCCTTTTTAACACAGAGAGCTCACATCTCTCTTAAAAATGGCTTCTGAAGTTCTGAAGCTGGAATCATTATACTAATTACTTTAATCATCTACAAGAACCTGCACCCCAGTGAGTGTAAGTGCACCGAAATTGTATTTGTATTGATTTGAGAACTCAGATTTTAAAAAAACAGGAGATAAAAGATAAATATGTAGCCATAAAAAATAAAGAGTAAAATCAATTAGCATTCATAGGAAACCTGTGTTTTATTAAGGTTGAACCAAAAAGCACACCAGTGTGTCAGCAAGAAATTGACAAAAGTCTTGTAAGTTTTCACTCCGAACATTAAGTTCTTGTTTGAGTCCTACTGTTTCCAGGAAAACGAACTGTTGAACAAAAACTTGGGCAAGTCTAATCTTCTCTCAAAAAAAAGTTTGCACCGCGTCTAGCCTCTCAGAAGATGCAAATCTGTGGAGCAAGCTCCAGGGTCCAGGGATTAGGCAGAGTGAACTGCAGTTTTTTCCAAACCACCAGAACACAAGCAATAGCAGGGAACAGAAATGGCCATAAGGAGTGATAAAAAAAAAAAAAAAGAAAATCACAAATAGTAATAGAGTCTAAAAAGCTGAACACAACAGAAAGGAACAACAGCACTCTGGATACTCAAATGCTTCTGAAAAATTACTTTTGTATGCTTCTCTTCATATCAAAGGCAAAGATGAAAGAACTTTCTAGTACTGTGCAAGGAGAAACAGGCATACCTGCATTGCTACAACCTTGTCTTTGCTTCTGGGACTGAGTGACCACTCATAGCTGACAATTTCATGGTCATCACTGCTCTGGTTTCCATTCAACGTGATGAAGTTCTGGGGCAAAGTGACTGCCTGATTAGGTCCTGCATTTGCAATAGGCGGGTAATCCACTGGTTTGTTGACACTCAGAGAAGCAATTGTGGAGTTGGCTGCTCCGTCTGAATCAATCACAGTGAGTCTACAACAGGAAAAAGGCAAGACTGGACATTTGGTAGATCAGACTGCTGACAAGTCAGAAGACAAAGATTCCCATTTTGCTTGCACTCAAAGAGAACAAAATCACTCCCTAAAACAGAGCCACTGATTTAACTTTTACGAACCTGCGCTGTAGAAGGACATAGCCTTCAACTAAGGTGAGACGAAATTCAGAAGACTGCTTTCAATCACAGCTTGCAATCTGTTTTTAAAAAAATGCACATCTATTCTGGATCCCAGATGAAACCTCTTCCGTGCAGTCAATGGCAACTCCATCAAATTGCAGAGATTTTGCTGTACGTTCTTTAAAAATGTATTCAGTAATGACTTCAGTAGTGACTTCATTCATCTGCTACTGCAGAGCAATCCCTGCACCCAACACTACTGTGGATATTCACAGACTCTGCCTCATCACAGCACAATAACACCTCATAACTTCTTATTTCTTAAACAAACTGCTACTAATACTAATGGAGCTTATTATCAGCTCTGATTTTGTAAGGAAATCTTAAGTCAAAACTAACTGTAACATAGGGTTTAAACAATTGTTACTGCCTTTCAGAAACACAGCATTATCATATACTTATTATCTAAAAATGTGACACCTGAAAGTGATGACAGACTGTTCTCCATGGTGTGGGAACTTGCTACAGCTTCAATTCACCTCTTTTGTGAGTACTGCATACAGCCAAAAGCATGGAAGGGAGTCACTCTTGAAATCATCCCCAAAAGAGAACAATAATGCTTACTGATCTTGCCATCAGCAACTGCACACTTTTGCAATGGATGCACAACCAAGTGTGTTAGGAGTATCTTCCAGCTAATTTCCTGTGAGCTTGAATAGGCTGCTGGATTGTTCAAGTACCTCAGCCTCTCCTGAAGGCATATGGAAAAAGTGATTTCTTAATTCCCTTGTGTTCAGAGCACGCTTAAAAGCAATGTACGTGAGCTCTATCCTTTTCAACAGAGGAAAAGAAAATAATAGTCTTCTGCTACTGTACAATATGGAACAATTCCAGTAAAGAACAGAGAACTGAAGCTGAAACAATTTTTGGCGATGCTTATGCAAAGGGCCATGTTTAATGTATGCCATACATTGGTCATCAACAGGCTTCAGATTCTGCTGATGCTGCACTGATATATGACATACTGACCTGCAGGCTGTTACTCACTGGCAGCCAAGAGTGATTCAGTGAAAAATGCACAAGTCCAGGACAAGGTGCTAAATTAAAAAGTACAGAAAATGATCTCTGATTTTAATTAAAGCAGCCAGGACTATAAACATTGTTTTTGTCTTCTGGACAAAATCCATCGCCAGCAAGAATTAACTGGAAGAAAAAAGCAGCAAGGCAAAGGCATTTAGGAAGAAAAGAATTACAAAACTCAGCACACCATGGGACCTTGCATGGGTCAGGCTGCCAATACTATTCTGTTTGTCACCACTATTCAGGGGATGACTTTCACATCCTGATTTTAGTCTCATCTGAAAAAATATATATATTCTCTTGAAGTTATTATTGCAGGAAGTAGGAGGTTATTTAATTTCTGATACCTTGATTTGCATAGGTTTGTGCTCCAGTGCATCATTATACCAGTATCACAACACCACTACAAGTACTTCTTAATGAAACTGGTCCCCATCAAATGAAGGCAAAGAGCACACAGAAGTAAAATGAAGTTCTTTAAGGAGGTATGCACAAGCACCAAAAAAAACCCCATCCAGCTGACATCACAGAAATGCCTGAAACTCAAAAGAAAATCACCCACGCAGGTGTACCTGAAAGTGTAATTTCCAACAACAAGGTTAGACAAGTGCAAGACAGGTGTGTCAGCAGATGCTTTCTGCTCCCGCAAAGGACCTTTAATTTCCTCCCAGTGGTAACTCACGATCTTCATATCATCTGTACTTTCTAGATGAATTAAAGAAAAATGTATCAGCACCCTGTGTAACATCAGGCTGCATGAATACTAACGTCTCTTATGCACTGATCCCTAACTGTTTTTCTACAGTTCATGTACGATAGCTATTGAACCAGATGATGAGTTACATTTTGAATGCTTTACCACAAAAAAAACAAAGGTAAAGTCAATTTCAGCCAGCCTCTCTGCGGATGAATCACAGAACTACAAAATGGCTCAATGATCACCTAGTTCCAAACCCTGTCACAGGCAGGGTTGACAACTGCTAGATGAAGCACTAGATCAGTTTCAAGAGGACTCCATCCAACCTGGCCTTGAACATCTCCAGGGATGGGGCATCCACAACCTCTCTGGGCAGTCTGTTCCAGCGCCTCACTACTCTCTTAGTAAAAAACTTCTCCCCTCCTTTAGTTTAAAACTATCTTCCTTGTCCTATCACTATCTCTGTATAAAGTTCCTTTCCCTTCTGTTTATAATCTCCCTTTAAATACTGGAAGGTCACAATGAGGCCTTCCCAGAGCTTTCTCTTCTCCAGTCCAAACAAACAAAGGTTCCTTAGCCTGTCTTCATAGAAATGCTGCAGCCCTCTGATCATCTTCGTGGCTCACCTGTGGACTCAGTTCATAAGCTTTACAACTTCCCTGTGTTGGGGACCCCAGACCTGGATGCAGTACTCCAGATGGGGCAGTCTACATCTTCTTGTACATTCTACACTTCCTTTGTTCTTAGTAAATATAAACGCAAACCTTTGCTCAACTTTTAAACAAACTCAGAGGAGCAGTAATCAAAACATGCCAGCTCTCTATCATGGGCCCAGACTGGCACAGAGGCCAGTAATGGGGACCCCAACCAGGACAGAAAGAACTTCTAAGGCCACACACTATCTCAGTTCACAAGTAGAAGGCTGCATTTTACCACTACTGTCTTGATGTGCCAACCATATTTCCACGAATACACAAAGTCAAGCAATCATGTCTTCTGTAACTAAAAACTTCAGAAAATAAGAATCTTCCAAGTGCAACTCATTCTAGAATAAATATCATTCAATCTTATACATCCAGTTAACTCAACCTTTTTAAAAACCACTTATAACTACCCTCAAATTCCCAACGTGAATAATGATTCAGGGAACTTCTGTGCATTGAACGGAAAGAATTCCACTCAGTATGGATGAACAGTTTTTAACTGAATTAAAAATAAAGGGTAATACAGGTAAGCAAGTACATACGACTGCCATCAATGAAGGTAGAAGTTGTAGGCAAAGAAACTTCTTGTACTTTGGGTGAAGCAACAGCAACAGGTGGCTGGTTAATTCTGATTGCTGTGAGAAAGACAGGATTGAAAAAAATTGTGAGGACCTGGGCAAAGATAATCTGGTAACTTTACAAACCAATAGTCCTCAGTAACCTACATCTAAAAATGACAGCTCGGCAATATCTGCTGTCTAAAGGATACAAAAGGTTACTGAAGAGCACCAGGCTTCTGCTGCAGCCCCTTCCATCTGGTACAACTCAGGAAAGACCCGTGCGCTGTAACTTGCAGCTACAGCCAGTTGAGCACCTAATGCCTGATCCTTGTAGCACAGAAGGTGTCATGATACTACCTCAAGCCTTGTACACATTAGGCACGATCCTAAGCTGCGCTTCCTTAAAATGCTTTAAAGACAGAAAGACATGAGATACATCTCTGCATAACTGGATTTCTAAATGCCCTTGGAAGACAGACTGTTACATAAACACGTTGTATTACCACTTGTGTTGAAGAAATTAATTCTTTTAGTCAACTGACTTACCTGGTTTGACAGTGACATTTACAAAACCTTCACCAAAGGCATTTTCACCAGAAACTGTCACTTTGAAGGCGTAAAGTCCCACCGACAGCTGAGGCATACACAGAACAAATCCAGTTACATGATGAAACATACAGATGCAACACGCACACAATCTGCCAATCATGCTGTAAACAAAGAAAAATCTGGATATCTGAAAATTAGAGTTCCTTTCATAAACCCATACATAAGAAACACTGTTTACTGTTTAGAGGTGAGGAACATAAAGCCAACACTTAGGAATTTTTACTCTATCTTAGAAAATTATGAGGGCGCTCTGAAGAAGATGGCGTGTTTCTGAAGATCTATGAAAGAGTTGGTGATACATGCAAGTGAAGAAAACTCACAGTAACATGAATTCCTCAAACAAAGGCACCCTTTATCACAGGTTAAATTCCTGTGAAAGAACTGAACAAACTAAATAAGCTTGAGCTTACAGTTCACTTACATGAGAGAGCTTCAGTGTCCGGGTGTACCTGCGCTCCATTTCACCACCATAGTCAGCAGGGTGACTAATTAATCTCCACTCATAGTTATAGGATGTTTCTTAGTGCAATAACACAATAAAAGAATGATCAGATTTCCCTTCTAGGTAAGTCCAGGAAACAAAGAAATCAAGTTCACTACCAGTCAGATAAAATGCTACAGTAGGAAATCGTGAGTACTATTGTTTGAGACAGAAAAATGAAGTGTTACAAATACAAGTTATGCTTCCATAGTATGCTGTAACTTGCTAAAATAGCAACAGGAACAGTTTTCACAAATAACTTTAAAATCCAGCTTCACATGAAGTGAATGCATTTTACATGGCTACCTATGAAATATGTATTCTTTGCTACCGTAGCTCAGAAACTGGTGGTTTTAAGGTCAGTGTGTTCAGATTCCACCTTTTTTTCCCTCTCTGCTTAAAAACAAGATGCTATAACCAGGGCAACATAATCTTTAGGTAGAAATGACAGGCTTTCTGTTGAATCATTTGGCTAATGAATTCAGATTCTGAAAAGACGAGCCATTTCAAAATGTGAAACTCAAAGGAGGAAATGCTTTCAGCAATTGGATTCACAAAAAAACCCAAAAACCAGAACAAAAACAACAACAAAAACAAACAACAGTAGAAGGAGGAGATAAGAAAGACATCTTCTCCCTAAGTGCAGATGATCACATAACTCAGGACTCATCTGCATTTACAAGTTGGTACTGTGAACATGTCCTGTATGGTAGGGCCATTTAACTCACCTGTTGGTGGTGGTGGGACAACAAAAGCATTCAGTTCAACCTCATTTTTGGGTAGCATCACTTGTATGTTATCTCCAGCAGACACAATAAGTTCTTTTACTGTATCTAAGACAGAATGAGAACATAATGTTTTAGAAGACGGGATGGGTATAGATTTAGTATCTTCAAGTACTATTTGCAACAGATTAAGCAAAATTTGGCAAATAGGCAAAGATAATTAAAACAAAAAGAGTTTCCCCGATACATCATCAAATAGTAATTATGACTATGGCTACTTCACTTTTTACTGAACTATTCCAGACAACTGCTCTTCCCTAAATATGAAAATTTCACCTACTTCTATGAGTTCTGATTTTTTCTGATGTATCAGAGTTAACTTTGCTCTGCAGAAATAATTTTTCTCAATTCGTTGGAATTACAGGAGTTCAAAAATGTCCAGAGTACAGAAAGAGCCATCAGAATCAGAAGAAACACCACAAAACTTCATTAAATTAGCTAATATAGTCCATCCTAAAACTAACGCCTCTTTTCCACCAGGAAGCACTACCTGTGTATTTGTGTTGCATTTGGGTAGGCATATCCAAGAGCCCAGCTCATGGGGTGACTTTCAAAGATACTGCTAGAGGAACAGGGTTATCTCATAGCTAAACTGCAATTCAACCTGTGTGTCATCCAGAAACAGTTCTTGCCTGTGAAAAATCTTTCCTTTTCCAAAACTACTGAAGTCCACAAACCCACTCTCCAACAGGAACATACCAAAGCACAAGTTCAAGCAAGGTTCTCACAGATCTGTTTTTCAAAGGTTTTAGATCTGTTCCTGAATACTGGGAGTCCACAGAGCAGAGGTCCTCCAAAGGCAACACTCAATACTATCTAGACATCCAATTTAAACTCTTAATAGATGAGTAAGAGATGACTTGGCAGTGGCAGATGACAGGTCAAAACAGGGATACAGCAAAGAGACCATGACGACACCTTCTGTCATTGCTTCTTAAATCTATGGCTCTAGAATTGCTCACAGAAGTTGACTTAGCCATCAGCTAAGTGGAGGTTTGTGCTTCTAAAATCTTTTGACCTCTCTCGTAAGGTGAGAATAAAATGGCTAAATGAGCATGATGACCAAAAGAGGAGGAACACTGTCTCCCACATTGAGATGAGCACAAACTTGAGGCAATCCTTATACAAAGCAGTACTTATAGTGAGATTCATCACAACCTTTCATCTCAGCTGCTTCTTCCAAATACCTTTTCTAAATCTTCTTTAGCCTGCTGTTGTGAAGGAGGATCTGCCCAGTCAACCCTCAGTGGTAATGATTATTCACTGCCTTGGAGAAAAACCCCCTTGCAACTCATCTCTTTCCATTACCTTCTACTACTACCTGGCTAGTAGATCTACATCCTGCTAGCCAGGCCATGGCAGAAGGTGCCAGGAATGTCCCAGATCAGACCCATTCTACCAAGAAGCAAAGTGCTTAGCTCTACATATCCCTCAGAAGCACAGAAAAACATAACCTGTGCTTCTCTGACTCTTGTGGCCCTTCTAACCCTTTGCCAGGATACAAAGGAAGGGGGGAAACTTGCCATGAGAAAGGAGTTACAACTAACATACAGACAGAATTTAACACAATTACAGACAGCAAAGCGGTTAAAGACATCTTCAAAATAAGAACTTTTTGCCCTGCAGCTGGAAGTCTTATAAGCCTTCTTGGAGCTTTGAAGTCATAACAAAACATTTTTTTTTTTCAAGATGAAGTGTTGTTCTCCCCTGTTAAGGGCTGAGTCCCACCTGTTTTCCTGCATGATATCTGACAGCTATACATGGTGGGAACCCTACTGAAGAGTTTCTGAGAATGAACAGAATTCTGAAGCCACACAAAAACAACAGTATGGCTAGAAGAGACTGTTGGGAAACTCCAGAAAGTCTTAGGTATTTCTCACCAATATAAAAATTAACTCATTAAGAAAATGCTCTTAATCTCTGCTTTTTGCAAAGTTGTTATAATTTCCCACTGATGTTACGCTTGATCAGAATTTTGCTCCAGAAGTAACCAGCTAAAAGGGATGGAGTTTCCAATGTTACTGCAGGACTTCATGCTTAAGGTGGGCTGAGGCTGCACTTGAACAGAGTTCGTAACTAAGAAAAGGATGCAAGCCTGACAGTATTAAAGCCCTCCCTGCCTCCCATCCAGCAGGCCCTCTCCAGCTATGTTGAAACATTACCTGCTTTGGCAGCCGTAGCAGGAGGTGTAAATTGCTGCAGGGGTTCAGATGGCACAGTATTACTGGGAAGCATCATGATTCCATGTTCAGTCACATTGTCTGGTGCCACTGTAGGAGTCTGGGCTTTGTTTGACACATCTAGGGAGAATTCCAGTTTGTCTGATGGAGGGGAATAAGAAGGAACCTGAAAAATGAATTATAGGGAAACAATGTCTTAAATAAATCATTCTTTACCTTTACAGATTTAGGGGTATGCTGTTCTTGAAAGAGAATGTGGGGTTCACCTACTAACTTATGTAGTTAGGAGGTTTTATTCATGAAGAATATCTATCAAAGAAGGAGTGTTTTGTTTCTTTCCCCCTGTCAGTCTCTATAGGAAATGCTCATTTTTTTCCCAAGCTTCAGATGCAGGACTTTTTTAGCTTTCCTAAATCTCTCTACTTCAGTCAACAAGCAGTAAAGTTCTTCTTAACCACCACCCTTGTAAACTGATCTAGAAATGCAATGAAAGACACAGCAAGTTATGCAGGAATGACCAAACAGGTCCTTGGAATGACCACGTTAGATTTGCCCATCACCCCTCCCTTCTTTCAGGCCCCATCACCTTCCCAAGACACAGTCTGAATGGGACAGTATATCTTCTATACCTTCTCCCACCAAGACTTACTTCTGACCATATACCTAGAGGAAAACATTTTCCCTATTATGGCACACAAAGGCAGCAGATACCTGGGATGCATTAAAAAGAGCGCGGCCAGCAGGTCGAGGGAGGAGATTCTCCCCCTCTACTCTGCCCTGGTCAGGCCTCACCTGGAATTTTGCGTCCAGTTCTGGGCTCCCCAGTATAAAAAAGACAGGGATCTCTTGGAGAGAGTTCAGTGGAGGGCCACAAAGATGATAAAGGCCCTGGAGCAGCCCTGTGAGGAAAGGCTGAGCAACCTGGGTCTGTTAGCTTTGACAAAAGAAGACTCAGAAGGGATCTGATTAATGTTTATAAATATCTTAAGTGTGGGAATCAAAGGGACATGGCCAACCTCTTTTCAGTGGTCTGCAGGGACAGGAGAAGGGGAAACGGCCATAAACTGGAGCACAGGATGTTCTGCACCAATATGCAAAGGAAATTCTTCACAGTGAGGGTAATGGAGCACCAGAACAGGCTGTCGAGGTGGGTTGTGGATTCTCCTTCTCTGGAAGGATTCAAGATGCAGTCCAGACCTGTGCAGTCTCTGGAAGGGATCTCTGGAGATCATCTACTCCCACTTCTAGGCTATGATGGTATCTCAGCTAAACTGATCTCAAGTCTTAAGAAACTTGCAGTTTTACATGCACACACACACACCCGCCATTTCAATCATTCCTTCCAAGAACATCAGTTGCCTTCTTCACTTGTCTTTTTCTTCCCTACAGCAATAGCAAAAAAAAAAATATGGCGTTTTTACAGCAAGAGAAAGGCAACTGTTGGTTACAAAACCTGTTGGAATTAAGGGAAATCCAGACACTGCTTGATTTCCCCTGAGGCATGACAAACACAGCAGACGCTGGCTTTACTGCCTGTTCCAACTTTCCCACTGATCCCATTCTGTTCTGATGGAGCCAAAGACTATTTAGAACTGATCAAATCTGCTAACATACACAGGGAATAGGTGCATCTTTCTTAGGTATCTACATTAGGTTTAAAGTACTTAACAGGTTTTAACTTTGGCTTTTCTTATTACCAGACACTAGAGAAAGATTCAGACATTTAAGGAGAACAGACATTTACCCAGTTTATGTGGTCCAAAAAAAAAAATCAAACCAACAGAGCAACCAACACTGCCCCTTCTTATAAACATTTCTAAATGTTCTAAAAGCATTTTAAAAGCTATTTATTCAGCTCTATTACATCTAAAACACCTCTTTAGGCATTTACTAACATGAATCCTATAGAACAAGATTTTGTTGATGGAGGAACTTATGTTTACCGGCCTTGGCCTTTGGATGCTGACAGGACCACTACCATTACTAAGCTTATGACCTGTAATTGAAACATCAAGTGACAGAAGGGCAGAACACCAAACCAGTCCTCTTACACCAGGTTCAAGCCTTGTCGTCAGAATACCTCCAAAGAAACCCAACAAGGTCTTTGAAACAGCCCTGCTCTTCATCATCTGAAAGAGAAGTGTGCTTCAGTGATTCATCAGCCTATTAAGATAACCCTCTTCACTTCAGCCTTTTCTGCACCGTAATGGACTGTAACTCACTTGAGTTTCAGGGTTATGTTACAAAACTACAAGCTTGTTGAACAAACAACTGTTGCGTGGCATCACTTGCCTGCTTCTCAAGGGGAACACATACCTTTTCTTGCAAAGCATCGGCAGGTTGTGTAAGCATCTCAACAGCTGCTCTGCTTTCATATGTCTTCCCAGGGAATGGTGTAATCTCTGGGAGAGAAGACAGCCTCTCTGTGGAGTGCTCACTGACAGAACTCAATTCAGATGTGTTTTTACTTAGAAGGCTTTCGACCTTTCCAGCTTCCTCTTCCTGGTTTTCTCCATTGTCGCTGACTGAAGTGTTGAAGCCATTTTCACCTGCTACCATCAGGCCCCAGTCAGCATAATCCGTGCTCTCCTTCTGATCGTGTCTGAGGCTCACCTGAAAGGGGTCCTGCTCCAAATCTTTATAATCATCTATGTATTCAGGTATCTCCTCAAGGCTGAGTTCTTTGCCAAGAAAAGACACTTCCTCAGATGGCTCTTTCTGACGTCCCACAGAGTGCACGATGCTTGGGATCATCTGCCCAAATCCCAGCAGTGAGGCTGGCCTCTGAGAAGGTCTCAGCACAAATGTTAGATAGGACTTTACTGTCTCAATTGTTTTAGGTTCGCAGTTCTCTTTGTGCTGGCAGTTCACAACGTAACAGCGCCGTTCAAACATCCAGGACAAGTCACAACCAGAGAGGTCACAACACGCCGTGATGCATTCAGACACTGATGTAGCATGAGGAACTCGCATAATTTTAGTGGTTTCTAAGTTGGGAGATATTACTGCACTTGAATACGTGGCTCCTTCTCTGCACTGCTCGCAATAGGAACCTGGAACAACAACGCCAGCATGAAGAACAGCACAACAAAAACATAATATTGTTTTCTATAACCCAAAGGGGCTTATGGCAGGAGACAAGATAAAGGCAGATGCTACCCAACTTAAATAAACTCACTCCTTTTAACCACTACTTTTCTTACAGCATGCCCATTTGCAGCAGCACTTGTACTGGATGGGATTTCTCAACGTAGGATCTTAATCTATTTTATAAAGACTTCCTTATTTATTTGATACAAATGCCATCACTAAGAGATCAAAGTTAGGTGTAATTCTATAAGCAAGAACAGAGCAGGGAAGAGGAAAAAAAAATCATGCGGTACTTCCACCATAGCAAAGTGAGCAAAAAACATGTTTCACAGCAAAAGTTGCTACTAAAAAAAAAAGAAAAAAAGAAAAAGGCAGTTACATGTCATTGCTCCAACTAAGAAAGCAGCTAGGATTTATGTTAGAGACACCAGATATCTCACTTGAACTTCATGAAAGGTCACCCACATTATTGCTGGACTAAATATAAAAGATCCAGAGATAGGGAGGGGAATTCCCCAAATTTTGCAGCTTTAACCATTTCATGAGGAATCCCAAGAGCTTGCTCCCATGGAGAGAATACTTACACCTCCACTGCAAAGGAAGGAATGACACTAGATTTTCAGAGAACACCAGAGACCATGAGCATGAAGTGTTTAAACTGAGCATGAATCAACGTAAGCTATATAGTTTTCTACATCTTTTTATTCCATATGTTACAACTGCAGTTCAGAATCTCTCCAAAATTCAACTTGAGGAACCTGATCGTGCTTCAAAAAATTACTGAGTAAAACCAGCAATTTTTTTTAGCATTGTTTTCAGTCAGGCTTGTTAACTCTGCCATGAAAACATGATGCCACTACTGTGGAACTAACACAGTAATACAGGACAGTGTTTGACCTGCCTGCCTTGCACGTCATAACATGGTTGTTAAGTGAGTTCTGGTGGCAGAAAATGCATTATTAGTGATAGCATTGGAAAAAGACTGTTTAACTAATGGATTCCAGCTCAAATCTGTAGAACTGACTGGGGAAGAAAAATGAAATCAGGGAGCAGAGACAGGCCAGCAGTAGGAGTTAGGTCTGAGAATGACCCAGAGCCCTGAGGAGATGCAGTTACTCCTTGATCACGTGCACAGAATCACAGAATGGCCAGGGTTGGAAGGGACCTGAAGGATCATGAATCTCCAACCCCCCTGCCACATGCAGGGCCACCAACCTCCACATTTAATACTAGACCAGGCTGCCCAGGGCCCCATCCAACCTGGCCATGAACCTCTAGGGATGGGGGCATCCCAATGCAACAGTATCCAACAACCACACCACAGTTAACTCACCTCTGGGCTGGACTGCAGTATGTTCCTGCACAACACACTACTGATACAGACTGGATATACAACTACTGACCTATCCGTGCAGCATCACACTTATCTGGAATGAATGCACAGCATGCAAAATAGGCTAATACAAAATACACACACACACATACTGGACAAGCTCACTGGACACCTCACCATCCAGCCACTGACTTCTCTCTCCTCTGCTCTGTTCTGATAACACAGCAGAGGAATAGAAAGGGTGAGACTTCATGATGGTTTTGCAGAGCAAGCTATTTGGGGTGAGGAAATATAAAAAACATCCTCTTTTTCCAGAGTCCCTTTCATCTCCAAGGATATAATACCCTTGCAAAGACTCTGAACTGCCATCACAAATCATTACTTTAAGTTGACTGTTCAACTTCAGACAGGGCACCCAGAGGAGCTCTAGATTAAAATGCTGGAGTTCTTCTCTGAAGGGCTTGTACAGTATGGGGATTAAGCAAGATGAGTGAAGAGATCTGCATGTAGTAGCAGGGCTAAAATATTTTTGGGAAGACAGCAACACGGTCGGACAGTTGTTGAAAGTAGAATGTAGCAAAAGAGCATTACAGGCCCTTAAAGAAGGACAGGCTGAGAAAACAAGGAGGGGGGAGCAGCCACTGAGGCTCTGGAGCATGTCCAGACAAGGGCAATGAAGCTGGTGAGGGGTCTACAGCACAAGCCTTATGAGCTGAGATTGTCTAGTCTGGAGGAGGCTCAGGGAGACCTTATTGCTCTCAATAATTAACTAAGGGGGGATGTAGTCAGCTGGGCTCAGCCTCTTCAGACTCTACAGACAGCAACCTCATGTTCATAGGATTCACGGAGGACTTCAACAGCCTCAGTATTTGCTGGAAGGGCAACGCACCCAGAGGGAAATAATCGAGGACATTCCTGGAGTGCACTGATGACAACTATCTCCTCCAAAGTGAGAGATGCCAATAAGAAGAGTTGCTTTGCTGAACCTCACACTCACACCAAGGGACTTGTTGGGAATGCAAAGGTCACAGGTGGTGTTAGGTGCAGTGAGCATGAGATAGTGTAATGCAGGATCCTCAGAGCAGGGAGAAAGAAAGCTTAATAGCAAGCTCACAACACTGGAATTCAGGACAGCAGACTTTGGCCTCTTCAAAGATCTGCTTGGAAGAGTATTGTGGAATAAGATCCTGCAGGGATGAGGGGCCCAAGAAGGCTGGTTAATATTCCAGGATCACCTCCTCAAAACTCAAGAGCAGTCTGTCTCAGTGAGGAGGAAGCCAGGCAAAAACGCCTTCATGGATGAACAACAAGCTCCTGACTCAAACACAAAAAGGAAGCATACTGAGGGTGAAAGCAAGGACAGGTAATCTAGAGGGAATACAGAGACACTCTTGGAGCATGCAGAAATCAAGTTAGGAGAGCTAAGGTTAAAAGAGAAATTTAATCTGGACAGGAAATTCAAGGGCTTCTTCAAGTACATCAGTATCAAAAGGAAGACTAGGGAAAATTTGGTAAACAGGTAAAACACACAGGACAGGTAAAAGTCCTGTGAGGTCAGTGTCTCAGAGTCTACAGGAAAGGCAAGGAATATGCACTCTTGTTGGTAGATGAACAGGTCAAGGAACACTTAAGTAATCTGGATATCTGCAAGTCTGTAGACGTTGATGAGGCGTACTCATGAGAACTGAGGGAGCTGGCAAATATCATTCTTAGGCCACTGTAGTCTTTGCTTGATTGCAGTGGCAAGAAGTGTAGAAAGACTGAAAGAAAGTAAATGCCTCTTCTATCTTCAGCAATGGCAAGGAGGACCTATGGAACTACAGGACAGTCAGCCTCACCTCAACATCTAGGAAGGTGATGGAGATAATCCTGGAAACCAAGCACATAAAGGACAGTAAAGTCATGAGGAGTGGTCAGCATGGATTCACCAAGGGGAAATCATACCTGACCAATGTAATGAGCTTCTATAATCAAACTAAAAGCCAAATGGTTGAAGGGGAAGCAGTGTACGTTGTCTTCACAGACTTCAATAAGGCCTTGGACACTGTCCCCCTCCTAGCAAAGCTAATGAAGTATAAGCTAGATGAGCAGGTAGTGAGGGGGACTGAAAACTGCCTGAATAGCCCAGAGAATAGCAGTCACTGGTGCACAGGTTAGTTGGAGGCCAGTAACGAACAACACAGTCCAGGGATCAATACAATCTTGTACCTTTATTAATGACCTAGATGATGGAGAAGCGTGCTCATGGCAAGTTTAGAGGTGGCACAAAACTGGCAGGAGTGTCTAATATGTCATAGGGTCACAGGCTACAGAAACAGGCTGAACATCATCAAGGGGATCAACACGATATGGGGAACGCACCAGATAGAAAGCAGCTCTGCAGAAAAGGACCTTGGAGTCCTTGCAGACACCAAGTTGAACGAGAGGTAGCAACACACTCTTGCTGCTAATGATAACCTGGGCTGCGTTAGACTAAGTATTCACAGCAGGTGACCCTTCCCCTCTAACTCAACATTGGAGAGGCTACATCTGGAACACTATGTCCATTTCTGGGCTCCCCAAAAGAGTGGACATGGAGCTACTAGAGAGGCCAAAGAAGGTCCACAAAAGTGATGAAGGGACTGAAGCATCTCACCTGTGTGGAAAGGCTGAGAGACCTGGGAGTGTTTAGCACAGACGAGGCTTAGAAGGGATCTTATCAATGTCTACAAACACCTGAAGGGAGAGCAGAAAGAGGACAGACCCATGCTCTTCAGTGGTGCCTAGTACCAAGAATACAGGAAGGGCCTTCTGAATACCAGGAAGCACTTCTGTGCTATGTGGATGAGAAAGCACTGGCACAGTATGTGCAGAAAGGCTGTGAAGTCTTCTCCTTGGAGATTTCCAAAAGCTGCCTGGACACCCTATTCTCGGTGTCCCTGCTTGAGCAGAGGGAGCTGTACCAGATGACTTCAGAGGTCCCTTCCAAACTAAACCATGTTGTGCTATTCTTCCCTCTTATTTAGAGGCATTTATTTGTGTGCGCTGGCTTTTGGCTAACATTTGAGTGTCTTTGATGTAAAAGAAAGTGTCCTTTGATACTCAGCCTTTGGCTACTGGTATGTACATGGGAAGAAAAGCTTATTTACCTTCTTCCTCACAAAGCCCATGACTAGCAGTAGCCAAGTTTATGTTTAAAAATGATGGCCTTGAACATGGTCTAGGAGAATGTATTTCTAAATAAAGGGATGTGATGTAATAATAAGTGGACTGCATGGAGGAAAAGAAAACAAAAGACTAGAATACACAAAACCTACATTGGCAGATACCTATTGATTTATCTTTGTGCTTTTGTCGGGGTTGCTAATCCAAGAATAAAGCACCACAGTATAAACAAATGATATGTGAAATCTCATGCTCCGCTATGAGAGCTTTCTTATAGATGCACAGATGCATTTCAGTAACATTGCTATGCAAGGTCTGTCTTAAATACAAGGTTAGCATATACCTGTTCAAGTAGGAAACTAGACTGAATTCCCAACTGCAGAATAAACTGTCATTCTTGTGGTATGCAGCATCTTCTCTCTCTAAGAGAGATATCTGTGCACAGGTCAGTCCAGTTAACAGGGCAGTTTAAATTTATAGTCTTTATTTATATATAGGAAAAAAAAATAATATATATATATATTAATTTTATTAATGCCCAGAATGATTTAAATCTATTCCAGTGTAAGCTGATTTCTTCAATGAACGGACCATCCAGTGGATTAAAATCCAGTGGAATAAAACTGTGAAATAAGGAATGCCTGTAGAAATTGAGCCACATCCACAGATCTAGGAAGTCAGGCATTCATACAGCATGAAGTGCTGAGTGAAGAGAGGTTCATGGTCTGGCTGGGATAGAGTTAATACTCTCCATACAGGCTCTTATGATGTGCTTTGGATTTGTAATGAAAACTGTGATGATAACTCAGCAATGTTTTTAATTGCTGCCCAGCAGTGCTTGCACAGAGCCAGACTTTTCTACTTCTGATACTTCCCCATCCCACTTCAGGAGGGTGGATAAGTGGCTGTGGTGCTGAGCTGCCTGGAAGGTTAAACCACAACAGAGACATGGAACACTAATATAAGGCACTTACCCCTGTTGCCACAGCCAAATTAAGTCTCCTACAAACCATAAAGATTAGTCAAGGTCACTGATAAATGTCTATATCCATTAGGTCATCTGCCTACTGGTCTAATTTTGTTTTGCATCAAAACCACTCAGTAGCAAAAACTTATCACAGACAAATGCCAGCTAGTAAGAGGAAAGAGTATCACAAAATGGTTTAGTTTGGAAGAGACTTCAAGCAGGGACACCCAGAATAAGGTGCCCAGGCCCATGTCCAGGTTGCTTTTGGGGAGGATTCCACAGCGTCTCTGTGCACCCAGATGCATCGGATACACTGAGATCCCTCCCCCCTCAAACATTCTCTTCATCAGGCTGAACAGTCTCAGCTCTTCCTCACAGGCAAGATGCTTCAGACCCTTCATCATTTCTGCCTTTCTTATATTAAATCTGCTTCCTCATTACCTGTGGAAAAGGATGCCTGATTTAAAAAAAAATAAATAGAAGTGACTGAGGTCCTAAGCTTCTTCCTTCCTTCCTGCATGTCTCCCTCCATCAGCATTTCTTTTTCCCTTTCCTAAATTAAATAGCCTTTAGAGGCACAACATCAAGTATAGATAAAAATGGCAGAACGGCCATCTAGCAGCTTCCTGAACCTGAGACAATTCATCTTATTTAAAGCATACACAGAAAAAAAGAACATTCTTTTGATGTAATTATGGGTAGCATCTACTGACATATTTCATCAAACAGATCATGGAAAACAGCAAATAACTTTCAGTTTGGAGCTGACCTTAAGTGGATAGACAATGCCAGGAATTATCAAGATGGAAATGTGTTAAATGGAAGGATAATACTCAAATACGTAGGAAAAATTACTTTTGGAGTGACCTATTTATTTCCATGTAAGCTACAACTGATACAAAGACCGCAGTAACGTTATCTGATAGAGCAAGTTCTCAGCTACAAAGCAATATTTTTCCAACATGGTTATCACCATTAGTTGTGCATTTCTGTCAGTGATGAACAAGAGCCTTCATGTCACGTTCATAAAAATCGGCACCAGCAGAGCTGATCCACTGTTTTATAGACACTATGACAGTGTTCTTTCTGCCATCATTGTATTCAATGCACTGAAGGTGATATTCAGCTCTGTATGGGTTCCTCTACCAGTTCAAAGGGACAAGCTAATCATTTTGTGGTGTGACAGCTGTGCATGGCTGTCTGTCACATGGCTTGCCTTTCACATCACTGACAGCACAGCTGAAATACTCCACCTGCTGCTTCACTGTGCTCATCCACTGTTTGGGCTCCATAAACGTTCAGCAAGCATTGAGGAATATAAGGAGGTGCCTTTTTTTCCCTCATGGGGGAATTCAATAACACACTTTGCTTCATATGCTTTCCCATGTCAGGTGCCATTTTTGTCAGACTGCCCCTCTGCTGCCATCTCACAATGAGAACAAAATGTAACAGAATACTGGCAGGAAGGTTCAACCTCTACTGCCGTACCACCAACATACATCTCTGGCATTGCAGGTTAACATAATAAAATAGGAGGCATTACTTTCAGAGCGCCCTTGTATATTAGCCCCTAACCTGTGTGTGTGCTCATAGCTGAGATACAAGGAAAGGCTTGACTACAGACAGCAGATTGAGTGGAGCAGTTTTGTTCTAGATAAATAAGGAGGAGGTAGCAAAATTGACACAGAAGGAAAACAAGACTTTCTACATATGCACATGGAGGATATTCCAGTCTGCTAGCAACTCATGTTAATGAAAACATAACTATGACTTTCTTTACACCAATATTCAGCATTTACTGCACATTATTACTTTATACTGAAGAGTGTGCGTATTTTTTATTTGGTTGGTTTTTCATTGTTTCCTCACTTCCCTCTGCCCTCTCTCCTCTACCTCAAGACACTGAATATCTGCTACAGGGTCCATAGCAGTATCACAGAGGTAATTATCTATTTACAAAAGGGTACTCTTACTGTTTAGTAAAAAAAACTGACCAAAAAAACCAGCAAAAATAAACAAAAAAACCCCTACATTCAGCTCTACGTTCTCCTAAAAAGCTTGCTTAATGATTACTGCAAGACAGCAACCATACAGCTGTAGCTAACGTTCGTCTCCCTCAACCACCTTTTTCCAAATTCCAAATGATATGGGGTCCCAATCCAGCTTTGTTGTAGATCCCCTTTAGGTAGTACTAAAAGGCCACAGTGAGGTCTCCCTGTAGCCTTCAATTTTCTGGGCTCAACAACCCCAACTCTCTCAGCCTTTCCTCATGGAAGAGGCGCTCCAGCCCTTTGATGATCCTTGTGGCCTCCTCTGGACCAAACGCATAAGGTACACATTCACCCAGCACAAGGAGCTTCAAAGCTGAACACAGTATTGCCCATGGAGTCTTACGAAAGTAGAGTAAAAGGAGAGAATTGCTTCCTGCTAGCTACACTTCTTTTGATGCAGCCCAGGATACAATTTGCCTTCTATGCAGCAAGTGTGCAATGCCAGCTCTATTCAGTTTCACATCACCAGTACCCTCAAGCCCTCCTCTGCAGATCTGCTGTCAATCCACTCATTGCATAGCTTGTATTCATGTTTGGGACGGCCCTGACCAAGGTGTAGGACCTTCCCTTGGCCTTGTTGAAATGCATTCTGTTTTCACAGGCTCACCTCTCAACCCTGTCCAGGTTCCCCTGGATGGCATTCCTTCCCTCCAGGGTGCTAAACACACCACTCAGCCTAGTGTTGTTTATAGACATGCTGAAAGTGCAGTCAGTCCCACTGTACTTGTTGCTGATAAACATTCAAGTCCCAGTGCAGATCCCTGAGGGAAACTACCCATTACTGGTTTCTACCTGGACATCAAGCCAACCATTCTCCATCTCTCTGAGTATGGAAGCTATAAATACATTTCTGAGGCTGAAGTGGAAACTTAAAGGGCTTTCCTATGGTCTTTTAAAAGAAATACATGCCTGAAGAGGAGATGGGTAGGTGGAAAATGTGAATGCTTCTCACAAATCAACTGTCCCCAGAATACCCCAGAATTAAAAAAAGCTTAGACCACAAGCAATACATCATTGCTAAACTGTTGTCCTGAAAGAGAAAGAGAAAGGAAACTCTCAGCACTCTCCCTCTAATCCCCTCTTCCCTCATGCACCCAATTAGAACCAGTTCTCTTGAAACTGGCACCAAACCACCACCCAAAACTGCATTCCCTCACGGCAATGAGCAGCTAGATGCAAAGCTGTACTTGTGAGAACTCACTGAGGAGCTACAAGGTTTCCTAACTCTTGCCTTATTCACATTTTATTTATTCATCCCCATACACTCCAGAAGCACTTGCTTCACTCCTTCTGTGTGACTCAGAAACAAAAGAAGCAAGCTCCTACCTGTTATTGCCCATAGTAGCAGGCAAAAAGCACCAAGTCCAAATGCCATGCTGCACTGAGAAGGCAGACAGCTGCTTTTCTGACCAGCTGTGCGGAAATCACTTAATGCTGGCTTCCTCTACGATCATTTAAAGCTCTGCTATGGCCGTGAAGCACTGCAACAAACAGGACAGGAAGAAATGGGTCAGATGTGAGCATTAATTAGAACATCACTGTAAAAGCAAATAGACAGGTTAAATGCAGACTTCATTATTATTTCCTGACTTCTTGACTGATTATATAGTAGATGAAGCAAGCTGAAGATATAGAGCAAATTACTGGAAGTCTCACTCTCTGTAGATACTGAAACATTCCAGGCTTGCATGGTTGGGCTCCCATACCTCCAAACCCACAAATATTCTGGCTGATCATCTGTCAGATTCTGCTTTTTTTTGTGAGGATTTAAATGGAAACTGGCAGGGACTCTTAACTGAAGAACCACAGACAGTATCATCCATGCTAAGAATTTACATGGTGTCAAGTCAGCTCTCAAGGCAGCATTTAAGCTACTCCCTCTCAGCTATCAAGGTAATGCAAGTAGATACTTATCCAGAATTTCAAAGGTAGCATCCTGACAAGGAGTGTGAAGTTTTCCAAATGAAGGAAACAAATACTTAAGCAGGAAAAAAAAATCGTTACGGACCCTGCACATTAGCTACAGTTATTAAACAGCCTTAAAAAAAAAAAAAGAAAGAAAAGGGTAAAACAAAAACAAGTCCCAGGTACAAAAAGATAAGACTTACAGCAAGGTCTCTGCAAAACCAGAGAAGACTAGCGTTAATTTCCCAAAAAACCGATACTTCCTTTAAAATATAACTTGACTTTTGTAACCTTCGTTTTAACCAACAATAGCAGAAGACCCTTTCTTAAGGGCAGCTGCAAAGCAGTCAGAACAGTGAAGAGAAAGTCGGTCTCTCAGTTTATTTTTAAGTCACACAATTAGAGTTTAATTCTAAGCACCAAAAAAAAACCTGTCAAAAAATCCTGAAACAACAAACCCACTCTTACCACACAGTCTCTCTACAAAGCTTCAAGCAGTATTTTGGTTCTATACTGACTTAATATCTGGGCTCCTGTGCCAAGGTATGAATTGGACTAATTTAGGTAGACTTCACATTAGAAAGGACCAGGATTCCTCCAGGTACTGCTCCATGAGAAACTCTTCAGCAACAGGGCCATTTCTGACATTCCTTATTCCCCAACTGCTCCTGTCCTTCCACCAGCTGTAAAGTTAATGGCTTTTGTAAGAGATGAAGAGCCCCGAAGTTCTCATTCTTAAAGCCAAACTGTTCTGTATGCCCTAGATGAACTACTACTGAAATGGCTAAGCACTACGCCAGAAACATCCAACCCATGGCCTATGTTCAGCCACCCCCTGCCCCATGCCATCATGTTTGCAGTTCTCACCAAGCAGCCCAGCCCTGAGTGCGCATCCATCACTCAGCAACAACCAAACATCACTGCATGACTGGTACTGTCTGGGCTGAAAACAGGGCACAGTGCAGTGCTAACTCACTCCCTCTAAGAAGGGAGATTCTGCCCTCCTGGCAGTCTTTGCCTTGAGACTCACATAGTAAAGAAGTGCTTCCTGATTTTCAAACACAGCCTTCTATGCTCCAGTTTGTGCCCACCGTCTCTTGTCCTGGCATTGAGCACCACTGAAAAAAGCCCAGCCGTATCTTCACTGCACCTTACCTTGGGGATTTAAGGTCACTTATAAAGCCTAACACTTCTCTTCCTGAGACTGAATAGTCCCTGCACTCCCAGCCTTTTTTCCTAAGAGGAGAGATGATCCCATTGCTTTCATCACCTTCATGGTCCTTTGCTGAAATCCCTGTGGATATGACTGTGTGCAGCCCAGGCTACCATCAACTGGCCAAATTCAACTTGGTATCCACCAAGGACCAAAGGACCCCTAGTCCTTTTCTGCAGAGCTGCTTTCCAGCCAACAAGCTCCTCATATGAACTGGTGCACGTGGCTGTTCTTCACCAGAACTTAGCAGTTCCCTTTTGAACAAGGCCAGTCATCTAACTGTAGAAGCTGGTTAGACATGATATGAGTTCCCCTTGCTGAACTCACATTGACTGCTCCCGATGATTTTCTTCTCCTTCACGTGCCTGGAAGTGGTTCCCAGGATTAGCTGTTCAATCACCTCCCCAGGGATTAGAGTGAGGCTGATTGGCCTCTAGTGACCTGAGTTGCCTTCCTTGAAGATAGGAGTACATTTGCTTTCCTCCAGTCTTCAGGCACGTCCCTGGTCACTGTTTTCAATCAAAGAATTACGATCTGCAGAAGAGCTTCTTCCTGAAACTCAAAAAACTTTGAAGTATCAGGCATTCATAGTACCCCTCACTCATTCCCAGTAGCAGCCAAAAGGATCCGATGTGTATAACAGACTGTCAGTCCTTTAGCCAGCAGAAAAAAAAATGCACCAGACTTGGAAACGGAACAACACAAGGTCAGATATTATCCCAATAAGAAGGCAGAAAATCTTCACTTTCAGCAAAGACCTTGTGTGGATCAGCTTCATAGCAGAGGCTTGTATCCAAGGGGACTCTCCACAGAAGGGTAAAACCAGGGCAAAACACTATGATAGGAGCCACTGGATAGTGGGACAGCCCCTAAAACGCGGCAGCACTGAGGTGCAGGTGATAGCAGCCAACCCCCTGCATGTATATAACCAGCTACCAGAAAGCGTTGTGAACCAAGAGTGCAGCGTACAGAACAGGCAAACAGAGCAAGGCATGGCAGAAGGGCATGGCAGGGCAGTTTGCATGGGGCAGGCAAGCAGAGCGAGCAGGAGAACGGAGTACTCCTCTGCACTCGGGAGACCTCTCTTGTTAGCTACCCTCTAGAGAACAAATCCAGCCAAGGACTCTACTAGGCAGAAAGTTCTGGCCAGAAAGAATGCAGCCAAAAAAATATGCTGGTTCTCATTTCTGACTACAGGGAGTGCCTGAGCATGATACTACCTGTGAAGGGTGGCAGGGATTCCACCTGCATGAGGTGCGAGCAGGTGGATGATCTGCTCAGTCTGGCGCCATAGCTCAAGGAGGAGGAGATTAAGGAGCGTCAGAGTACGAGCAGGAGATAGATTGATGGAGCAGCTCCCTGCCAAACTCGCAAGAAAGACACCAGAGTGATATCCACAAAACAGTGGTAGACCACCTGCCTTGCCATTGTCATGTGGAAGGAAGGGATTTAAGAGAAGAGGAAGAGTGGAAAAAGGTCCTAGCTCAGCATTGCAGGCAAATCTCAACCCTAGGTGCCTGTACATAGTAGGTTTGAGGCTCTGGAACATGAGGGAGAGGTGTGTGAGGATATGGTGGAAGGTCCACCCATGAGGTTGTCTAAGGTGAGGTGGTTAACTCCACACCTCAAGATTGCCTCCATCAAGAAAGAAGGAAGGATGACTGTCACAGGCAACTCCTTTCTCAATGGGATGGAGGGCCCTATATGTCAGCCAGACACTCAGCAAGCACTGATGAATGTCAATGCATGCCACTTTCTTCTAATGGACGAATTCCAAGACACACCTTTGCTTCATAAGCACTTCAGACATCATTTTATCAGACTGCCCCTCTGCTGACATCTGTCATGTGGCAAAATGTAATGGAATGGTGGTGGGAAGGCTCAAACTCTACAGCTATACTGACAACATCTGCCTCTGATGTTGGGGGGCCAACATAATAAAAGAGAAGGCATCACTTTCAGACCAGCCCTCATACAGAATCATACAATCACCCAGGCTGGAAAAGACTTCCAAGGTCATCTAGTCCAACCGTCCACCACTACCAACATATCCCACTAAACCATGCCCCTTTGCACAACATGTAAGTGTTTCTTGAACACCTCTAGGGATGGCGACTCCATCACCTTCCAGGGTTGCCCATTCCAGTGCTTGACCACTCTTTTGAAGAAGTTTCTCCTAATAACCAACCAGAACATCCCCTTGCACAACTAGAGGCCATTCCCTCTCATCCTGTCACTGGTTATACAGGAGAAGAAGCCTTCTCCATTTAGGTAGTTGTAGAGATAAAGTCTTAGTGCTGCAGAACAGCGAACAGTATAAGGCAATACACTGCTGTTCTACAGGCTATGCAAACCAGAGACAGAAACAAGCAGTATCCCTGAGGTAACCAGTGATCAATCCTTGCCAGCTGATGCCTGTAAGAGAGCGAGGGCTCTGAATGCTGGGTATAGAAACACTAATGTCTGTGGGAAATGCAAACAGGGGCTTCTCGCCTCCGTGCCCTTCTGGTCATTAGCACAGCTGGGTAACGTGCCAGAAGAAACACTGAAACAGCATCTGAAATCTCAAGCTGTGCTTAAAGCAGAAACCCTTAGTTTTGAGCTGACAATATCTCTTATTAAGCTGGGAGGCAGAGTAAATGAACATATTTCCAATTAGTTTGACCTGCACTTAACTGAAATGTCTTAAATTAGTCACTTCATCAGTTGTTGTGCCTGCATTCATATGTAAGCTAATTGATTAAGAGTGTTAATGTTGTATTAATACTGTAGAAGGGAGAAAAGTAAGCTCTTGTGACATTAGCATCTGTACTGAATATCACAGTGCAAAAACCTAGGAACTCACTAGGAACTCCAGCATTAACAGAAACTGCATTAATACACATCAACAGAACAGCCAGAGGTTAGGCATCTAAATAAAATTAATGATTTTCAAGCTCTTCAGCAGATGTGAAAGACACAACAGTCAATACTCAAGATCACCCTCGTCTCACATAATTTTCTAGTGCTAGTGTAATACTATAATGGGATGGAAAGTACTGCAATAACAGCAAGGTGGCAAAGTCTTCGGCCACAGCAAATGAGAATAAGCCCAAGTAGATGCAGAAATGAAGGAAAAGAGCTGCTTAAGGCAGAAAAAAGGCCTCAGATAGGCAGGGATCTCCAGCAAGAGATACACTTGCTTCCACTGCCAACCCTTAAATGAGGTCTGAGAAGGAGTAGATCCTGGCTCCACCCTTTCCACTCACTCAGGTGCA